TAGCATGCTGTAACCTAGAATTTGGGGGTCAAATAAAGGTAGGTAATCCAAGCTACTAACAACACATTAAATACTCAAATATTATAAACAACAATACAATAAAAAACCAAAAGATGATTCACGTATTTGACTTTTGTATAAAAAAATATTGTTGTAAAATTCTAATGTTATAAATATGGTTATACAATTTATCTACAGCCGTTATGAATAAGATACATCATGACAGTAATATTTTCTACCAAACCTTATAATAAATACTTTTATTAAAATCTTTTCTTATACCAATAAATCTGACTTTACTATACATACTCACACTGTAAAGGTATTAAAACAACAATGGTGGTGCTGAAACTCAATTTTTAAAACTATTTTAATATCATACAAACTACTGAAATTTGAAGTAAACTTAGCACTTAAATACAAAATATAATCCTATACCAAATTTAATAATTTGGTGTTGCACTTTGAATGTAATGAAATAATTAACAACTTTCAACACAAGATACACAAAACAAATGTTTTACAATTTACAGCAAAATATACATATTACATATAATATTTGAACAATACAATCAAACAAAATTATGAATGATCACACTTTAACACAGTCACTCCATATAAAACACACAAATTTGGGTATAAAAAGGCATTCATTACAGCATAAATATTACGGAGACAAGGATATGACTCGTGTAAAAAAGTGATGCAACATAAGGAAACTGTTAATGACAGCTGTTTTTGGCAGCACGTGACAATGCCAAATATTCTTATACTGAATTACATACACATTGACATTTACATTAACAACCATCATTAAATATTCTTTGGTACGTAAACAAAATATTTGGTGAAACGCGCACACCAAGCATATTCACTTGATATTACCCCACAATGTTACCTAACCTAACCAGACCACACTTACATATTCAGAAATATGTCTTGAAATAGTAGCATCATTTCAAAAACAATCCTGTACAAGATATCTGTAAAAGAGTTCCAGAAAACACCAACTCATCACCATAATGAATATATTTTCCAAATCTGTCATTCTTAATGCACCTAACCTCAAAATGGTACAGAATGGAACATGTTACAACCGCCTACCTGCAATCTATTTGTAATATCCATTCCATTAACAGTAATTGACAAACATTACTTTAGGGCCATTATTCTGAGCTGTCTGAAACTGTATAAGCAATGACAAGAAAAAGAGGTATACTGTCATTAAGGTTGTTTCTGATGTGCAAACCCAAATTCTTGATGAACCATTTTCAAATAACAATTAACTGTATTTGATTGTAGTTTGTTCCATTTGTATAGAATGCAGCTACTTCATGAATTTCATATACAGACAACTCGTACCGATCACATTTCTGTTAGTCCAATTTTTATTTTGGAACATAATTTAATTCGGTAAACTCTTATTTCAGCATGTTTGTCAGGACAACAGATTTGCATATGATAACTTAATACGCCCTAAACATACCTAACATGTTTCAAATTGCATGAAAATTGTTTTTCGTAATGTTGTACCAATGATTTTTCAATAAGAAATAGGTTTTGGGTCTGCTATTTCTATATGGGAACAGTAATTCCTGTCTTGCGCATTTAGCAACGGAACAGTAAGCTAACCTGCAACACTGATCAAACCTACTTAAAACTGACTCCATCATAAGAATCCCCATAAACCAACACATCTGAAGCAAGGTTTTTCCATAAACCTCATGGAGGAAGTTTAGAAACAGAAATGTTTTTGAAACTCGAGTTTACTGCACAGAGACCTTGATTTTATTTTTAAATTTATAAAATAACACTTCTTGGTGTTATAATGGCTCTTAGCAACCACTTCTATCAAAATTCATTACAGAATTATAAAAGCTAGATAGGATTTTAGTTACTGAACACTTCCCCACACACAATTTTATAAATTACAAACTCTACGTTACATTAGTAACTTTCTTTAATAGCTTATAAATCAAGTCCATATTTAAACCCAATTTTAAACTTGTCCTAAGTTTAAAATGTGGGAGTTTATGTAACACATTATTCTGAAAATTGCTCTTCACTCTAGAGAAAACTGTTAAGAGCTGTCAACTTCTTCAGTTTCATATACGCGAATTTCTTTTTCAGATGCGGCTGCTGTTTCTCAAAAAACTAATAAACAATTAAATCAAAACAAACTACAGTAAAAAGTGTGACAGTGAACACAATAATTTTCGTTGTAAAGATATAATGCAGCAAAATCAAGGTCTCCAGTATCATTCGGTCCATCAGCTTATCCAGACAGTTGGCACTTAGCCATATAAATGCCTGGTAATATAATTGACATTATGAAAAGTGTTACAGCCAGTTGTGACAAGCACCACAGGAATAGCTTTATCATTACCATTAACCTTCTTTTTGGTAATTAATTTCAACACAACTCAATACTGTGATGAAAAGTCCCAACTCAAGATATACGCTCACAAGCTTTGGTTCCAGCCTTTTGGCAATTTGCACAAAGAAAAGTGAAAGTATAATAAACATACCTTTCTTTCAATATTACACCATATAGTTAAGATTTTCATTTTTGCATATTTAAAATATACTCGCCATAAGAGATAATACAGACATATCTGGCCTGCAAACTGACGCAGCGAAAAGAAATGAAATTGAGACCTCCTTATTCATACATGAACTGCACAGATGGTTGTCTTTCAACACATTATTGTACTACACGATCTAATATCAGAGCTCTTTGGTGCTGACTAATATATTCCACTATGATTCACAGTTTTTCAAGATGATGGCAGTTTGCCTTTCATTAGTTGCCTTATACAAGCTAAAACTACTTGGCCGATATTATAAAGGAGGTACGACGGATGCAAGATAACTCCAGGCTTGAGCCACGTCACAGTAAGAAGGGATGGGAAGATGGAAAGGCATTTTTTAATTTTGTGAAGCAAAAAACTTCTACAGTGTAAATGTAATAATTTCACATGAACAGATCAGGTTATCTTTCTGTATGTGTTATTGCTTTGTGGTCTTTCCCCTCACTCCCACATGCATATGTAACAGTCAATGAAGCTTGGAGTTACTTTGCACCCACTGTAACTAGGCTACATGTTCATATGATATAAGAAACATTTAAAATTAGTACAAAATGTTGATTCTATATAAATTAAGAGCTTTTCTGTATGTCCCCATACAAGGAACCTCAAGTGCACTTATTTCACATTTCATTTGTTGTCGACAAAAAACACAAACTTAAATTTCATCGTTGTCAATATGCATGCGCAGTATCACCAGTGACATTTGATGCCACTCCTTCCAAAAAAAAAAAAAATTTTACTACCCAGAGTTTCTGTCTGTCTTTCTTCTTTCTGGTTAACAATATTTGTCCGTCAAATCACAAATTTAATTTTTAAAATACTCTGCTGCAAAAAAAGCATTTAATTTTTCTTATCTGTCTGAATATATTTTGAAAATCCTGTAACTCACTTCCTGATATTTTATTTCTGTTGCATTAAAGATCACAGAATTTACAAATTTCACTTATTTAATACTTCCTGAAACACATTTCACCTAAAAACCACTTTGCAAGTATAATAATAACGATAATACGAACCGAGACCATAAAGTGAACTAATCTACCAAGTGACTATTAAAAAAATAACCTAGCAGATAATGCACTCTATACATTAATGACAGGCTAATGATTCATTCAGGTTCAAATCATCAGAAGAAATACAGATTGAGATATCTGATCACAAATATGTGCATATGGTGGTGGGAGCATTATCACCAATGGAGGACTCAAATTTGAAACCAGTAAATATGTGAAACTTAAAATGTGAAAGCGTAAGCAAGTCATGAAAGAGAAACTTGTTTCAAAGCGTTCGTAAAAATAATTTGAGGTTGCATTGCTGTTATGATCAATAGACAAAGAATGCAATGGAATGAATCTTAGATTTACAAATTTTCAGAGTTTAATAGTTCCATCTTAATAGCTCTCTTTAATAAAAAGTGTACCAATTTTTGTCGCTTTCTACTGTTCAAAGATTAGTCACAAAATATCTTTGAACATATATCCATTTTGGATCTTACATTATTTACAGACAAAAAACTTCTACCAGATGGTAAGTGCTAAAACAAAATGAAATCTACACTAGCCACTTGACATGCTTGCATGTCTTCTGGGTTGTAGTGACATGTCTACAGACTTACTACAACGCTACAACCCAGAAGCGTAAACTTCTACCACACCGCACGGGCGCAAACCTTGACAACCTCAAATGTTACATGACATGTAGTTTGTTCCTTTATACATGCAAGGATATCAAAGTAAAATGGGTGTACGTAAAATACATGTGAATGACAGACCCATCTGGTGATATGAAATGTGTTTCATAAAGTCTCGACTACTTATAGTAGCAAATTAAAACATTATTGTCTCAATAAGTTGTGCGGTGAGTATGAAGATTTCTGTCTTCTGGGTTGTTGCGCTGCGTAGTCTGGTCGATGTTAACCAACGTTTCAGAGGTCATACTGCCTCCATCATCAGGGCAATTCATGACCTCTGAAACGTTGGGAAACATCGACCTGACTACACAGCGCAACAACCCTAAAGACAGAATTCTTCATCGCCCTGATGACGGAGGCAGTATGACCTCTGAAACGTTGGTTAACATCGACCAGACTACGCAGCGCAACAACCCAGAAGACAGAAATCTTCATACTCACCGCTGTGAAAACCTCAAATCTTACATGAGCCAAAGTTGTATGTAAATGAGAATCAAAGGTGACGAGTCCAAAAGTTATAACATTCTGGATACCAAGCAGAATCAAAAGTTATAACATTCTGGATACCAAGTGCAACAGCCTAATATTTCAGGTATTAAAACTTCTGTCACGGTAAACTCGACGTAGTGCCGACAATTTCCTCAATCCACCTCCAGACTGAATCAACACTTCGGCACCTTAAAATGTCTATGTAAAGTAATAAATTAGAGACATGCTGGTACATTATCTAAGTTACTTTTACTGGAAAGTGAAGTCAATACTGTAACTATATTAAAATTAAAGCATCGCTGCCTATTTTGATCAAATGTATGTACACTAGATACATTGCACAAAACTATATCTGCTACTCTTTTCAGTTCATCTGGGCCTTGTATGTCTGCCAAATAAATGCACATTAATATATAATGTACAGCATTTTAACACACAAAATACAAATTTATTTGGCAATCTGATGTTCTGCAATGTATAATAAATACCACAAATCACTTCTTTCATCAGTAAGAATATATATATGTGTGTGTATATAGATAATATTTAATTAAAATAATCCTATTTACAGTCTGGTCACATCAGTCATCATTCAGTACGTTACACATTCACACGCTCGGCTGGTGACGCTTAATTCACGGTTTCGTGAATTTTAACGGCGCACACACGCACACATACATACAATGCTGGTACAAACCTTAAGCGGCCCATCCACGTACGAGTCTGGCTCGGCTTGGGTTCCATCGGGCCAAACTCGTTTGTGGGTGGGGTGTCACGAGCCAAGTCTGCTATGCGTGTGGTGAAATATATCCGAGCTCGGCTCACGAGTCAAGCTCGCCGAGCCAGGCTTGCAAGTCAGATTCGTACGTGGATGCGCCGCTTTAGAAACACACTATTGTTATAGTCAATATCGGTGACAGATTTCGAGACACTAACTAAGAAATGAAGTGGAAACAACAAATTAGAATCTAACGAGCAACATTTAAAAACTGGAAGATGTATGATTCAAATTCAGTGAAGTCCTGTTCTTGCGTACATTAGTTGCTATGTAATAATTAATTACAGAGTCAAATATCAAATAAATTTTAACTTTTGGAGTGGTGGTGATGGTGAGTACTTGTCTTCTGCGCTTTCTTTTTGCGAGCAGCCAGCATATCATAGAAAGGGTTATGACTGATGCTTTGCCTGTAGCAGAAAACACAACTTACATCAGGATGTGCAACTTAGGAAAGATATATGATAGATGATTGAAAATATTGTGTCCAGACTAAATATAATATACAAAAATGAACAATTAGCAAAGGAATACTTCAGTGGAAATTCCTTCGTTTAATTTGTAGTTTATATTTTTTTTATTTGTAGGTTCCACGGTGAGTATTAAAATAAAGCATAACTTAATATTTTTCAGATCTCAGACATAAACATTAATTTTCAGAAACCTTAATATAATACTATAAATGATTCCATTGCATTATAGCAGTGTTTATCAAACTGTATTACAGAGAACTCTACTGAAATTAGTCCTGAATGACACTTCTTTCAATACATTTTGCCAATTTATGCCCAGTTTTTCATAAAGCTGGGAGCGAAACATAATTCTTATTTTCTTGATCACTTTTAATGGATCACTGGCTGAAAACAAGAGCTTAAATAAAATGGAAAAAACAAAGCAAGCCCCATTATATGATGACTGGAAAACAGATGGCATTTCAAGTACTTCAGGTATCAAGACAAATCACTTACATCGTACTTAAACAAATTTGTCTCTGAACGCTTGTTTACAAAAAAGGGTTTCATATGATTAAAAAGAAGGGCTCACTATGATCAAGAGAAAACTGGTGAATACATTAGCAACTACAAAATCACTTACCTGACACATTTGATCCATTCATCTTTCTCTTCTGGTGTGGCGGCAGACATTCGATAAACTGTGTGTTTACCTGTAACATAACAAACCCTAATATTTACAGATACAGCAGAAAAATTATCCATGCTGTAAAATGCAGCGATAAACTTCACAGCCGTTAAAAAAATTATTTTGACAATTTAAAAAAATATTTTACATGTGAGTAGTTTCAACAGAAGACCTGATGGTCATAGGGGAAGACAATTTACTATCATTCAGAGAGTTCTGAGTCTGATCCTTAATCAGATCTATGAGTCGATATTTCTGCTCACAGCCGTAATGCTCAAGAATGAACAAACACAACCTGTGTCTGATGTAATATGCACATAATTTTTGTTACATATCATTCATTTATTCATCTCTCCCTCTCTCATATTACTAACCTTCAACCACTTTGCCTTCACTGTCTGTCTTGCAGGCTTTGATGAATTCTGAGCCACTGGCATACAGCTCGAAACAGTGGTGTTTATGTCGATCACTTACTTCTCGAACTTGAATATTCTCTAGGGGGATAATACCTCGAGGTTCCTTGTCTGTTGTGTATTCAAAGTAGTATAGGCAGTTGTCATTCAAGATGAACCATCGCCTTTTCCAGCTCTTGTAACGTCCACCTGAAATTTACACAGGAAATCTATTAGTAGCTTAACCCAGTAGCGGGTCATCGCCGGCTCCTTTTGAAGGTTTCATTGTCTTCGAACACAGGAAATAACAACCTAAGAATGAATTATGCATCATATTAAGTATAAATTCCAACACACTTATTATTAAGCACTGTGAGGCTAGGAAAACAGTCCTTCTTGAGAAGTTGATAGTGACTCAGCTGGTAAAGAAATTTCCTGCCCTTAATGAACCAAAATGATCATATTTTCACACATGAAAATGTATTATTCTTAAATAAGACACATAAGCTTATTTTAGGACAAACAAGTGAAAAATTAGTGCAAGTGAAAGTTTTAAGTGTAACTTACCCTGTTTCCACAACCAGCCCTCTTTATCAGGATTGAAAAATGTATGCATAAGGTCATTGCCATCATCCTCTGGGATTTTGAATGGCTCAGTCTTTATACTCTCATACAAACTCTGCAAAACAGAATAATTTACATATACCACACGCCCGTAAGTTAGCGGACGATTTGAATAACTTAACGAAAAACTTATGTATATACTTCTGTGATCGCACGTGTAAAAATTTTAATGTTGTGTGGCTGTTTTTGTAGTACCAAGGTTTTTACATGGCCTTCAAGTCGTCCACGATTTATGGACACTATAAAAAAAATCGTCTTCAATATTTCATTCCAGCATCATGTTGTGGGATTGTGCACATTTTTTCCAACACATACAACAAAAAATTAATATTATATTAACATTAGTTATAATAACAGTATTTTATGTATTATGAAATGACAACCTTCTGGATGGTCATCTTCAGGCTTGTCCCACACACAATTAAAAGAAATTAAATCTGTTGTTGCTATAGTAACATCTACAAACATGTTACATAAGATAAAAGACTGGAAGAAACTTACACATTTACAGGATATATTAAAATATAAGTTGCATTATATTTCTACCTATCCAGTTTTGATTCGACACACACGAAGTAGACATTTCTTTCTGCTGTAGTTCTAGGGCGCTGAACCAGAAGCGGGAGAAAAGATCTCGCCGTTTAACTCCACCCTCTGTTTTCATGGTCAGCCAATAAGGATGAGGCATCAACAGGACTTAATGGTGTATATATCATCAGTTTTTGGCCATTCCTCACATTTACCCTGATGATGGAGACAGAGCAAGTCTCCGAGATATCGGTTCTTATCCTGACTCTGACACCACCGACCACTTAAGATGATTTTATAGAATGCTGTGATTAAGCAGGTAGTTGAAGACTGTGCCCTTGTAGTATGAAGTACTTACAACAAGCAGCTCCTGAGGCAAGTCCCCACCGTTATTGATGCCTCGATTCATAGATATAAACTGCTCTACGGTAGGCTTGTCTTTTACACTAGGGTTATGTAAACTTGTGTTCAGCATAATGATAGCAAAAGACAGTACATAGCACGTGTCTGCAACATAAAAAAAATAAAATTCACGAACTCATCAACACAGACCACCAACATCTTCACTGCTACGAGAACCTCAAGACTCGGTTAAACACTGAGATGACTGGTGGCGCCTCTTATAATGAATATCAACGCAATCTTGACAACACTTAATACATGTCCTACTCAATTACTGATAACCAGGCACAGACCATAATTATTCCAAAAAACTGTCTCTCTTAATTAATCTAATTAAAATTTTCAGTTCTAAGTTACACACCTGTATTTGTGAAAATATTAGGATTGAGCTGGCAGTATCTTTGTGCAAAACACTCCATCATACGATCTATTTTCTGGGCTTCGCCGGGCAGACGAAAACTCCATAGAAACTGACTGCAAAGATCAGATAAAAGTAAAAAATTTTTAAGCACGACCTCAATTCATATCAACAAGATACAACATCAAAGAACACTTACAGGGCAACTTCGTAAACACAGAGGTTGCTTGATCACATTATAATTATAGTAATTTAACTAAATTCTTCCTGACCTTCACCTTTACGGTTACAATTCAAACTAGCGACTTCATGATATAAGTTTACAGAAACAAAACTATTTAAAGGATAATGAAAATAAATTAAATTAATGTACCTGAGAATGAATAAGGACAAGACAGTGATAAGGCTTTTAAAAACCAAGATACAAATGTCACAAAAATTAACAAGACGCTGGTTACAGAAGTGGACAAATTTATATTGAGGAAGGTAAATATATTCACAAGGTAAAATTGATGGACAGAGAAACATAAAGATATAAAATAGATCTAATGTTATTTATTATATAATAATAATAAGGAACAGACTCCCAAAACTGAGAAAAAACAGTTTAAAAATAATATTTTAAACTGATTTTAACAACTGAAACTCAAATATAGACGCTCGGGAAAAGAAACAAAATCAAAATCTAATGGATAAGATATTTTTAGAAGTAGGGAGGAGAAAACAATAACAGACAGAATTAGAAATTACATCTGTAGAGAAGAAGTCAGAATCCAATATTTCTTATCAGAATTATAAGAGAATTTGCCACAATTATTTCGGCATATAAAGGGAGTCGGCAAAACAGGAAAACTAAGAAGGTTTTAGAATTAAAATTCAAATGAACGAAACAACCCAGCACAAGATGGTTTTTAACCAAATACTAGAAGAGGATGGTTATCTTCTGGGTTGTTCCACCACATAGTCTGGTAGAAGTTTACGGATGTTTCAGAGTTGCCTGAAGTCTTCATCAGGGCGACGACAGCAAACTTCTACCAAACTACATGGAGCAAAACATTCCAGAAGACAACCATCTTCATACTTACTGCTATGAAAAATTAAAATCAAAAGTAGAGGGAGGAGCTCGTAAGAAACTGAAAAAAAAAAAGGATGAAGAGGAAAACCCATTGGCCTGTGCAAAATGGTTATGATGCTACAAGGAGAAGAAGAAGAGGAACAAGTAACGCTTACCGTAAGGCTTGCACCAGAATGAGATCTGTGAAATCATGGAGCTCAACGAATGCTTTTAGAACTTTCTCGTTGAAGTCATTCTTCTCACCGAGGTAGTCTCCGATGGCAGTCTTGTTCAACCCTTCGCCCTTATAGAGGAACTGGGCCACGTCCTCCGCGGTACTTTTCAACAGGCCGTGCTCAATCAGGTACTCGATCCCCTTCTTTGGGTCCATGTTGAATTTCTTTCGTCCTATGGACATCTGTTTAGCCTTTGTATTGTTCTTACTGAAAGATACACAAGAAAGTAAATATTTTAAACCATGACTTAAAATGCATATCTTTTTTCTACACTGACACAGTAAAGAATAATTAACAAAAAAAATATATATATATTATTCTTCTTCTTCTATGGCTCTCCGGTCCATGGCCTCCTCAATTCTCCTCTTCCATTCGGTCCTCTGTTAGGTCCGTCTGTCCGAGGCTTTGATCGAGGTTTCGAAACATCTTCCTTTTTACGGTGCAAGGTTGTTAGCCTTGCGACCAACCCCCAACCTGGAGGACCATATATATATATATAATGATACAATAACCAAAATGGAAATAAATAAGAATGTTGAAGCAACTTCTTTCAGATTTCTTTGTAACATTAATGGCAGCAAATTTTCAATAAAATTACTCCCACACATTTGAAGTGAAAGCAGTGAGTATATTATTTATTTTACTTCCTACTGCATTTATGTTCCTGTTTACGAGTTCAAACGCATTCTTACCCCTCATCTGCTGTATCCATATTCTCCATTTCCGCAACAACTTCACCGAGAGCATCCTTGAGTTGCTGGAACATAGAAACACCTAGTTAAAAACACATTAACAGACATTTATACCATAATTATGATCAACAAATACTGACGAACTATCAGCTACATGAAAAATGGCTTAAGGAACGTCATATTATAAAGCTGCCGATATCGTCAACTCCCACAAACAGTAGCTCTATGCCGTACGCATTTCTGTTCTGACGCAACCTTATTCCGAGAACACCAGCCATCTGCAGAAGAAAGTTGTCCAGCAACATTGCCTAACCTCCAGCAATGAAACATTTGTTTCTTGGCAACAAAAATGCAGCATGTTTGTAACATTTAAGGTACTCAACAGTTGCACATATAGCAAAAATGACATAAAATTAATGATTTGAACTGTATAGAAAAGGTTGATAAAACACATTATCCCCACGTAGACCAGAGAGAATCATCACATCAGCCTCCTGTTTATGAGTTGTATCACAGCCGATATCTTGATTGTGACATCGAGCGCTTCTGACTATTTTTCTTCGTGTCCAGTACACACCATCCAGCATGGCGTGCATTGGTGGTTAGCAGGATTCACGATCCATCAGTACATGGGTTCGATCGGGACCCCCTTTTTTGCGAGATGATGATGAAAGTGGAGTAATTGTTGGGATGCCACGAAGAAACCCCGGAGGGAAAACTCCGTGATACCTAGACCCCGGCCTTGCCCAACACAAGTTGTAAATCTGAGCACCGCCGGGAATCGAACCCGGAACCCCAGTATCTAACCGCTTCTAACTATGCTGTGTGCTGAATGACCAAGGCTAGATTTCTGACACAGGCACGAACTTCTCTGTTTGACACTGCGCTCAAATTGGTTCCGGGGACCACCCGACCTCATATTCGAAGGTTTGGGGTTCTTTCCCTGGGATAAAAGCAGCAGGGGCCTTAATCCAGTGCCGAGGTACCTTCATAATGGAGTACTTAATTAACACAGGAATGAGAATGGTGATCTGATTGCAAATTCCCAGAGATGAAACAATTACATTTGTCAGCTGTTAAATGTACACGGGGTTAATGATGTTAGACAAATTGAGATAGGTAACAGCTCAGTCATTAGTAAATAAAAAGTAAAGTTTGTCCCACTATACGCCATGTAGGCGCTTGGGGTGAGTGGAGGTATAGCTCCTCTCTTCCTTGACCTCGGCACTAGATGGGGGTGAGTGGTCAGCATCACGCCCCGGCCGGCTTTACCCCCGGGAAAGGATCCCGGTACCCATTGTAGAGGAGGCTGGGTGGGCCCCAGAGCCGGTCTGGACGCAGAGGCTAGAGGAAAAATCCTCTGCCCCCGTCGGGGATCGAACCCCGGCCGTCCAGCCCGTAGTTAGTCACTATACTGACTGAGCTATCCCGGCTCCATTAGTAAATAAGCATTATTTAATATAATATTTTGTCATGTGTGATGTGCTTGAGGTGTGAATAAATCTTCCCAAAAGCTAACTACAAAATACACTCAACGACACCTAAGATACGACACAAAGGCCGTTTTATCTCACGGATTCGGAGGATTTTTATAGCGTTAGTTCCCACTTCCTCCGGGGAGAACAACTGTTTGCACATGTTTTTCCCTCCCTTACCACTCATTCCAGAACAGGAAATGAAATACATACCCCGGACGTGCAGGTTACAAATCTAGGGTCCTGTCATAACAGTACTGAGTTCAATATGGACACTTGCAGTTTCACGACTACAAGAAACTAAATACATTGTGTGATGCGTGTAACACAACAGAAAATTCCGGTTGAGATTTCAGTTTCTCGCGGCGGTAAAGATTACGATGTAATACCGTGTAGACTCAAAGCTACAGTCCACGACTGTAATCTTGAGACTTGCAAGGAATGCAGCGATGGTTATTTATTTATTTATTTAGTGTTCTGTCTGACGACAGGTCCATATGAACAGGATCCTTCCATCCTTTCCTCGGACTGGGACCTGTTCATATACGTTCTTGGCAGATGATCCAGAAGTGGTTTGCCATTGCCTTCTTCTGTGTGTGAATGGAGTAATTGTTGGGATGCCACGGAGGAAAACTCCGTGTTGCCTAGACCACGGCCTTGCCCAACACAAGTTATAAATTCGGGCACCGCCGGGAATCGAACCCGAGACCCCAGGATTACAAGGCCAGCGTTCTAACCGCTAGACCACCGTGGCGGCAGCGATGGTATCTACCCATAATTCTAAACAACGGAATAACCATGAATTAAAACATCGGCTGAAAGTTCCAGTTATTATTACCGGATTTCTGGGCATTTTCCATCGTCTAGTACTCTGAAAAGGACACGTTTCGGACACTGGACGTTACGGGGTTTGAGGTTAAGCTGGGGAATACCGACTCAGCCGGAAGGATCCTCAACTCCATGGAGGTGGTGTAAGGTCCAGTTTCCTAAATGATGGTTTTTTTCCCTTCAGAATACCAGACTCTCGACTCCAGAGTCTACAAATTACGACACATCATAGCCACAACTTTACAGAACTCAAGAAGTTGTAACTTTTCCTCGTAACTGTTACCGCCATCCTCAGATATCAGGTAATTCTAAGGTAGTATATTTGCGTCATATTGTGAATTAGGTTAATATTTTAATATTTTCCGTCAAATCACAATTTTAATAAGATAATAAAATATAAAATATTTAAAATATCATTTCACGTTCCGCATTCGATGCGGAACGTGAAATGATATTTTAAATATTTTATATTTTATTATCTTATTAAAATTGTGATTTGACGGAAAATATTAAAATATCAGGTAATTCTACTCATCCTCCAAGCTCAGAAGATCGCAAGGCCATGATGTCGGTATTACTAAGGGCAGAAAATTAATAAATGCAAAGGACGGCTGGCCACTAGTCGCATGATGTCCATACCAGTTTTCATAAAAATCCGTTACGTAGTTCTGTGGTTATCGGTGAGGCAGACACCGGGCCCGATAGCACAAGTCAAGAACAAGTTCCCGGATTTCAAGCAGGGAAGCAACCACCATTAAATAGCCTTCGCGATTTCCTGGCAAATACAGATTAAACTTCCTGTACAGACACAGCCACAAATAATCTCAAACACCAGTCACTGACGCATCAGCCAACATCTCCAATCCCTTTGAACTACCCAGATATAACACGTCAATCGTCTTTAAATCTACAGCGGCGGTCGACCAAAACAATCGATATCGCCTGAAATAACCACTCCGCTTTCAATTTGTCCATTGAACTTTCGCCTTTGGTTGTTTACGTCTGTGGAAATGAAATGGAGAATGTGCGGAACTCCGCGAAAACCTGACGCAACTCTGACGTACGCCAGGAATCAATTTCTTGTCTGCTAAGCAAACATCTCCACTCTAGCTGCTATATCTTGTACGAACCATCTGGTCTTGACCAGAACTCTTGAGAAGAAGGAAAGCCCGAGTACTGCATTTCAGTCCAACCTTTTGAATGAAGCTGAATTAATGACAGGGGAAATAAACGTTAAAGGCTATAAAGTTTCCCAGGCAGTGCCCACTCGTCCTTACGGTCTTAATGCATTCGATATTGAATTTGCCTTAGTAGGGCGGCGGTGGGGGGTACAGACTATCTTATGCTTTAAGTCCACTTTATCCGTAAAGATATTAAGTATCAGGGAAAGTAACTTCGTTCAATAAAACCTAGATACATATAACAAGAAGACAAAATGAGATTTCTGGTTCAAGGCCGGCGAATTTACCAGGTCTGTGGATACCTCAACCACGAAGGGGTCAAACACATTGCTTTTCTGTCCTCCAGCTTTCGAAACGTCGTGATTTTGTGATTTTATAAGTTAGACGATGGACAAAAGTAAAATAATAATAATAATTTTACATGTAAGATTTGAGGTTTTCAAAGCGGTGAGTATGAAGATTTCTGTCTTCTGGGGTGTTGCGCTGTGTAGTCTGGTAGATGTTAATCAACGTTTCAGAGGTCATACTGCCTCCGTCATCAGAGTATGACGATTTCTGTCTTCTGGGTTGTTGCGCTGTGTAGTCTGGTCGATGTTAACCAACGTTTCGGAGGTCATACTGCCTCCGTCATCAGAGTATGACGATTTCTGTCTTCTGGGTTGTTGCGCTGTGTAGTCTGGTCGATGTTAACCAACGTTTCGGAGGTCATACTGCCTCCGTCATCAGAGTATGACGATTTCTGTCTTCTGGGTTGTTGCGCTGTGTAGTCTGGTCGATGTTAACCAACGTTTCGGAGGTCATACTGCCTCCGTCATCAGAGTATGACGATTTCTGTCTTCTGGGTTGTTGCGCTGTGTAGTCTGGTCGATGTTAACCAACGTTTCGGAGGTCATACTGCCTCCGTCATCAGAGTATGACGATTTCTGTCTTCTGGGTTGTTGCGCTGTGTAGTCTGGTCGATGTTAACCAACGTTTCGGAGGTCATACTGCCTCCGTCATCAGAGTATGACGATTTCTGTCTTCTGGGTTGTTGCGCTGTGTAGTCTGGTCGATGTTAACCAACGTTTCGGAGGTCATACTGCCTCCGTCATCAGAGTATGACGATTTCTGTCTTCTGGGTTGTTGCGCTGTGTAGTCTGGTCGATGTTAACCAACGTTTCGGAGGTCATACTGCCTCCGTCATCAGAGTATGACGATTTCTGTCTTCTGGGTTGTTGCGCTGTGTAGTCTGGTCGATGTTAACCAACGTTTCGGAGGTCATACTGCCTCCGTCATCAGAGTATGACGATTTCTGTCTTCTGGGTTGTTGCGCTGTGTAGTCTGGTCGATGTTAACCAACGTTTCGGAGGTCATACTGCCTCCGTCATCAGGGCGACAACAACCCAGACGACAGAAATCTTCAATAATTTTATACCATCGTCAGAAACCTTCAAACGGGCTTCCATCATTACTCTTCTTCTATCGTCATTAAGTGAGCTGCTTATGTACTACAGAACGGGAGTCAGCTGATTAGCCCATCATCCTGTCTACGGCCGGTCTTTGTGCACACACAACGCAGGCATTTGCATTGTACAAACCAGG